TATACCTTTCAGTTCTTCAGAAGAAGTCGTTTGAAGTGTTTGACACATTTGACACCTGTGACCTTGAAAGTAGGTCAAGGTCATTTTCATTCTCAAACTTTGTTGGGCTCTATCCCAGGAAGCCATCAGCCAAATATGAAGATTCTATACCTTTTAGTTCTTTAGAAGAAGTTGTTTGAAGTTTTTGACATATTTGACCCCTGTGACCTTGAAAACAGGTCAAGGTCATTTTCGTACCAAACTTTGTAGGGCTCCTACCAACGAAGCTTTCAGCCAAATATCATGACTCTAGGCCTGTCCGTTCTTCAGAAGAAGTTGTTTAAAGGAAAAGTTGACGGACAACGGACGCCGCGCCAGGTGAGCTAATAATTAGCTTCTGATAATGAAACTTTTTCAAGGTAACTAACACATATATATATATATACAAGTATGAAATGTGTGAAGGGAGATAACTCTAATGCAAATATAGGTATAACGAACAGTAAGCTGGAAAAGAAAGAAAATTTTCAAACCAATTCAAATTAATGTTTCTTTAATGAACTTTGGTGAATGAAGAAAACGGTTGACTGGTTTTCATTCATACTCTATGCAAAGCATCACTAGCCTAGATAAAACATAGTATTATTTCTGTGAATTTGTTTAATTAAGTATTGTTTTTTCTTATTTGTACTGCAGAACCTCAAAAACTGTAAATCACAATAAGGTGGAATACATTTTAATCCTGTATTAATTAGTAAATGTAATTTACCCACCTCCATGAATGATGTTGTTTTCTGGCATAATTGTCTCTCTGCCTTGGTCTGGTGGTGGGTCTTGGGGACGAGGAGGTATGTGAGCCACAGGAGGCTGGTTTTCGTTGTTGGAGTCAGTGCCTGGAGTAACAGTGGGAATTGGCTGTGTCTTGGGATTAACTTGTTCCTCCATTGTCTCTGTATTATCTAGTAAAGAAACACATGCTGTACTTAAATCTGGTGAACGGCGACTCAGCTGGCAGCTTGTAAGAGTTTAGGACAATTTTACTGAAAATGTAATAGGACTCAAACTCTAGACGGATGCTCTACCAATTGAGCTTCCCGGTTGCCGACGACCGACCAAGTCCAGTTACACTACATATTTTGACACCAAAGCATGTAGATTTGAACAAACTAGAATCTGCACCTAAATAACTTCACAGGAAGAAAACTGCACTACATGTCTAATTTAAAATATGGCCCTGCATCAATATATTTACAGATATCACAGAAAAATACACATACACTACATGAAAGACATTTGCAGATTATTAAACACAAATACAATACTTATTTAAAAAGCATATATTGTTATATCATAAAGTAAGTACCAAACTAACGTTTTGAGAAGAAATCCTGTAGGTATTTGCGTTTAAAAGCAGCAACATCACACGCATTTCTAATATTTTCATTCAATCCATTCAATAAAACAGAACATGTGTACACAAATGAACGTTTAAAATAATTAGTTCTAGCAGTGGGAATATAAAACTTGGTGGAAACTGATGACCTTGTATTTCTAAAACTGATATCCTTGACATAGGTAAACATATTACTTAAACACTTGGAGTATCCCCATGTAAAATGTTGTAAGCCAGAACTGCTTTCCTAAAAATAAAATAATCTTCTATTGGCAGCCAATTTAACTGTTTAAAAAGCAAAATGGAAGGGGTAAAAACGTCTCTCATATTTAACATAACTCTAGCTGCTCTTTTCTGAAGTTCGGAGATTTTATGAATATATGATTTGTTACTAGCCTCACTCCAGACTACAGAACAATAGATAAAATGTGGAAAAACTATACTTTGATAAACTTTACTGAGAACATCATTATAGACATGAAAGGTCGTAACCTTTTCAGAACACCAATCTTTTTCGAAATGTTCTTTGATATGTAATCAATGTGGTCTTTCCAAGACAGACAACAGTCGACAAAAACACCAAGGAGTTTTGCACCGTGTACAGTTTCTATAATTAAGTTATCAATAGTAATGTTCAACTCACGACATTTATATAACCTTTGAGACGATCCAATCCACATGCACTGAGTTGTGTTCAGATTAAGACTAAGTTTGTTTTCTCTCATCTACATTATATAGCTAGCATTCTGAATTCTAAATAAAATGTGTTTCAGAATGATAACACGTTCACACATTCTTACCATCGGGACTATTTGGAATGGGTTCGATCACTACTCCTGGAAATAAATTCTTCATGGCAAGTTGTAATGCCAGAACCGGAAGATTTGACTTGTACATGGCCAAGTACAACAAACGACCAGCATCGGGGCTGTTATTCACAATGGTTTCCCTCCAATAGGTTAACATAAGGTATATCTTTCCTGAAACAGTATCTGATGTCGCTGTTAATTCGTCCAAATCATCAATACTTATGTCAAGTTCTGTACATAATATCCTCCATTTTGGTTCCTTTGAAAGTTCTACACTAATGCTCGCCAGATGGCTGTCGAGGATCCCTGTAACAGAAATCAAACAAACCTAGAGATGTACAATTTCATAATTAAAGAAATAGCCCGCTGACAGAATTTGAAACAAGAGGACAAAGGGCCTTAGCGGTCACCTGAGTTAAATTATAGGTACTGGTAGCTTTATTTTATTGTTTAGATGTGATGTGGAAATCAGCATGTAAACTAAGTGAAATACAATACTTCGTCATGTCATCAAAGGATAAGAATTTGAAAATAATGATAAATGTTCCCTTTGGGGCCCCGCCCTAGCCCCTGGGGATGGTGCAGGAATCCCAATTTTAAAAAGTAATACTATCATTCACCAAAGATGATTCTGACTAAGTTTGAGTAATTTTCTGCAGAAAATGGATAAAATATACCCAAAAGTGTTATTTTCCTATATAAACTATAGTCAACTTTACCCCCTCCCCAAGGAAGAACGGATAGCTCGGGGGTCCTGAAATTTAGGATTTAAATAAAGCCCCTGAGGATTTTCTTTCCATGCAGAGAAAATGAATGTAGCGTAGTACCTCGGGGTCTGGAGGAGAACATTTTGGAAATATTGGTTAATTTTCCCTTTTGGGCCCCGCCCTGGCCCCTAGGGTTGGGGTAGGATTTTCAATTTTACAATTTGAAACATCTTCCTCCAAGGATAGTTCTCACCTAGTAAAATTAATTTCCTACAGAAAGTTGTCAAAATATACCCAAAAGTGTTATTTCCATATATAAACTATAGTAAACTTTATCCCCTCCCCAAGGGAGAACGGATAGCTCGGGGGTCCTGAAATTTACGATTTAAATAAAGCCTCTGATGATTTTCTTTCCATGCAGAAAAAATGAATTCTGACCAAGTTTGACAAAAAGCAAAGCAAAGCTCAGGTGACCTAAAAAATCTAGTCAGGGTTATGATTTAATATTAATAAAGGGAAATTTTCACTAGTCTTCACACAAAATATACCAGCTTCAGCCATCTGGCTTGTAGAACTATACTCCATAAACCTGTGTCAATCGTACATTGTTGACAGGATCAGATAAATTTGACTTCATAGGATCCTTGGATTTAAGTACAGAGATTTATTTTGTAACCTCAGGAATTTTTTGTCATAAAAATTTGACATTCTATTGATCACATGAATTTAGTATCATTTCATGTCAGGAATTTGAAAATATTTTCATCACAATTCACTATCATTTGAAATTACTATAACAAAAGTTGAGATTATTGTTTCTAACATTCTTCACAGAGTAATCCCGTTGTTGCTAGGGAAAGACAGCTGACACGCCCTATGACGTCATAATAATGGATTGTCGATGTGACGTCATTTTATTGTTTCCGTGATGTCATACAACTGTTGTGAATGGGGAATCATCCGTCTCAACCCTAGGGTTGGTGTTTTGGCGGAAGAATCAGATCGATGCTTATTCCGACTGGGATTTGTTTATTTGTAAGTATGTGAGAAATGTAATCAAACATGGGTCTGTTCCATGGACACCTCGACCTGAGCATAAGAGTTTGGCTGGTTAGCACGAGGATTGCCGAGTGCTGGCCAGCCAAACTTTAAACGAGGGCAATATATCCCTGTCCACGGGGCAATATATCCCTGTCCACGGAAGAGACCCATGTAATATTCTATTAATTTAATATACCCTGGACAGGTGTATCAACAATGTTTCCGGTTTGTGATTAATAGAATCTCTCGCACCCTTGGGGCTGATATAGGGGAATCTCAACCCGAGGGGGAAGATTCTTAAGTTGTCAAACACGAGGCTTTGTTGAACAGGGTAAGAGAAAAAAGAATCATTCACCCCCTTGAGATGAGATTGGAAATCATTAATTCTCCTCGGGTTGATATTCCATAAATCAGAGACTGTTGATATTCTTGTTATCACAAGACTATGACCTCCAACGCATGAAAATAATAAAATATCGTAAATTGAATCTGATTTCTCCCCTTTTATACACGACTTCACACACCAGGTGTTTTTTATGTACAGTATATTGGTGCTGTAGCTATATTAAAAGCAAGTAATATGTATCATTTGTTCAGATCTTGACCAATCCTGATATTATTTCTCTTGTTTTATAATATTCAAATGCATTTATTACGTGATGAATGAAAACCATAGGTAGAGGAATTCCAAGTTCATTTTGTTTGTTTGTTTGGGGTTTGACGTCAGCCTGACAGCCAGGGTCATATGAGGACAGGTTTCCAGGACACAGGACATTTATATACAACGAAACACGCAAGAACAGTTTAACCTGTTTATTACACTACAGTTATAATGCATACAAGCTACAAGTTTGGCGTATCAGGGGCTACTCACTTTATACCAAAACAACTAAACTTACTAATAGAATATTTTAAAATTTAAAGAATCTAGACTCTGAGGTGTCCCAGAGTAGCTAGCTACATGACCGAGCAAGACTCCAAAGATACAGAGAAGCAACTAGACCCTGGATGATTCCAGAGAAGCTACTAGACTCTGCGAGCCATATATCTAAATACAACCTTAAAATAGTTTAATATTAGCAGTAATAATATAATCATGAGACCATTACAATGTCTATGTACATACCTTTTCCTGCTGGTAGAAAATTCTGACTTGTGTCCTCCATTTCAATGTCACCCGGTGACGGTGGCGAGGCTTTTACCGGGATTGTATCCACAATCATTGGCGTCTGCGTAGGCCCAACTCCAAGTCCTGCGACTGGGGGCAGAGGTGGGCCCGGTCTACCCTTCTTGTACGGATATTCTGTCAGTGAGAAAAATGTAAGTTAATCTGTGCTCAAAGCAAGTGTAATAATTTACGGCTTTATCATAACCTAGTTCGTAGGTCGTCTCAAAGTGGTTCACAAATTAATATCAGTGTATAGGCATTTGCAACCAGCCAATATCTTTCTCAACTCCCTGGGGAGCATGTACAGCCAGTGCTGCCATTTAGGCACTCACAGCTAGCATTCAACAATTCCAGTACTACCCAACCATGTACTCATTTACAGCTGAGTAGACTGGAACAAGCCGAGTAAAGTATCTTGTTCAAAGATACTGTAACACAGTGCCAGACCCTTCGGTCACGAGACCGGTGTCCTACTACTAGACTACCATGCCTCCATGTAATAACAGCCATTTCTTTTTTTAATAATATTTATATTTTTAATCTCAAACCTAAGATAGCTAAACATTGTATTAGGTCAAACAAATGTATGCTTATTTCAGGTAACAAAAAAAATTAAGCCTGAAAGAATAGGGTAGGTTGGTAGGCAAAGAATTATATTTTAATGTTGATTTTTAATTTTTGTGAATTGATATTATCTTTTATTTCAAATTTTTCAATGTATTTCTACCCATTACAATGGCTATTAATTTGTCAAGAATAAGGTCACACTCCCAGAACAGGGAGAAAGTACATTTTAATCAGTGGCTGTGAACTTTGCCTGGTTAATAATCTTAAGATACAAGTAGGTGATAAAATAATTAGGGTCGGCAGTAATATCTAGGGTAAGTCGGGATACCTGAAACATGCATATAATTATTTTTTTGCCTTATACATGAACATGTCACAAAGTATATGTTCTCAAAAACCTGTGTCCTGTAAACTACACATGAGAATATCGAACCCAGTGGTTACAACTATTTTTCATTCAACATTTTCATTCAATTTCATCAAATCAAAGTTTCAAATTTTTTTTTAACACAGCCTATGAAAATGGTACATGTATTCTGATATATTGACAGTATAAAAATGTAACAAGTAATTATCTAAACTTACTTTCGTATTCTTTGATTTTGTCCTTCAGGTCTGACCTTTTCACAATGTCCATTATTTTGTATAGAATGCTAACATCCATCGCTTCAATCTCTTGTTCTCGCTCGAGAAATGTAAAGAACTCCATCATTGACTTTAACTTAGCCATTGTTCCTCTTCCAAACTGACTTTGTAGCACAAACTTTGTTGTAACATAATCCTCTTCAGTTAACTCCTCGATAAGCTCATATAACAAATTTCTGAAACAAATGAGAGATATAAACATAATTTCAACCTTTGCACAGGTTGGAATTAGGATAAAATTATTTTCTCTATGTTATGCAGTGCCAATAGGTGGCGTGCAGATATGAGATTTGCAGGTGCATATCCCTTCTGCATGTTACCTGAACGCCCCATTCAGGCTACACAGGTAGCGGCAGGCAGTCTGTAAAATCTCATTTTGTACTTAAAGGGGCTGGTCAGGGAAAAAATGTCATATTTGCTAAAATGGCATACACATGTTTAAAATACCTTCTTATGAAATACACCGATTCAAATTTTGCTGAAATTCACTCCATAAGAGTAAAAAATATAATTATATTAAACAAATCCTAAATCGTCACCTGACACTTCTAAAACTCTCAATTGACCAAGATCAGTGATGTAATTTTACCGAACACGCGCCATCAACAAGGCCAAATGTAACTATTGCGGCGAAAGAAAAAGATGCATGCTAAAGTCATGACAGGCACTAGGTATCAATACCGTTATATATAACAACAACACATAGGTAGGAATCCTATACTTGCATCATCCATGACCTTTGAAAACAATTATTTACGTATAGTATTTCTGTCTTGTCCGCTAGTTGAGTCCGACATGGCACATGACGGCGTGCTATTGTTGTTATCTTCACTGCCTCACTTTCGAAACAACCACATGACATATATAAATAGATATGCACTAAATTTACGCGGGGCTTCCCCGAGATTTCAGTGGTCAAAACTGGACATTGCAAGCAGACCATGACCATCATATTGCCGTGGTATAACTTTTGGAAGGACAGAGAACGCATTTAGACCCATTTATTTTGTATTTTTTTTCCCCGACCAGCCCCTTTAAATAAATTGGGGGGGGGGGGTTGGCGAAAATTTGAATTCATTATGTTAATTTTATATTTGTCCATAAAATGTATTGTTGTGTTTGAAAATGATTTGTTCGTTTAAGCTCTTGTTCTCGCTCGGAAATATCAAGAAATAGAATACAATCTCTGGACCATACTGGAAAATACTGATTGTACTGTCATAGTAACTCTGACAAGATTTCTTCATACTTCTTGCCTGAATGACTTACCCTATGGAAACTGAGAAAATAACATTGTGTAATTGTGATATCAATGCATGTAATATATTTGAAAGATTCACATTGGTTTTAAGAATAACAAAAAAAAAAAAATATTACAATTGTTTCAATGTACCCCACAAGGTTAAAGTTGTACATGTATTCTATTTAATTATCTAATTATCATCTTTAAAATCTAAGGGCTTCTGTTTTAGTACAGAATATCTTCTCTACCCTTGGAAAATATCACGACAGAAACGAAGGCTCATAGTTAATATATTTGAATTCGGGTATGAAGTAACGAAAAATGATTTTTTTCTAGGCTGATATATGTATATATGCTTTGAATACTCCATCGACATCCGAACTCAATGCTGGTCAATTTACCGTTATGCTGCCACATGATTCATTTTGTGAACACTTTATAATTTGCAAGGATGTGCCTTCCGAGGCTTCAATTTTGTAATCATGTATTATTCCAAGTGTGTATAGATTTGGTTTGGTTTGTTTGGGTTTTACGTCCTATTAACAGCTCTGGTCATTTAAGGATGTGCCAGGTTTTGGTGGTGTTGGAAAGCTGGAGTTCCCCAAGAAAATCCACCGACCTGTGGCCAGTACCCGGCGACTGCCACATAGGCCTCGAACCCATGACCCAGTGGTGGAGGGTTAGTGGTAGCAGAATGTTGGTCAGCCCTGTTATAGTGTTAGTAGTACCATGTAGAGCAGATAGCTGGACCATTCAATTCTAAAGATGGCAATCACTTATATAGAGTCAGTGATTTTTTTTACCCGATTTTTAGTGCTGACTTTAGATCCTTTCCCCAAGTGAAGTTTTCCCAATACCGACCCAGTTTTTTCCCAATCGCTTGTAAAAATATTAAAGTATGCCTTCTTATTAACTGTTGTACAAGGTTGTTAAATTTTTTGATGTGAAAATTTTTGACAAAAAGAAGTTTATCTTGGGGCATTGAATTCAAGCTTCAAGTTTTGTTTACACATGAGGTTGTTTTGAGCGCGATCAAACAAAATTTCCCTTATATCAAACACCCGTAACATGTTGTAAACTTCCCAATTCATTGTGTCTGCGCAGTAAAATTCGGAATAAAAAAAGGCACCGGCCCTTTTGAAAAAAAAAGTAAAAATATCACTGTAGATCGATGTTTTGTGTCTCTTTATCCTGTTGTTGTTTGGCTTCATGATCATGATGAATTTAGATCTTACCTGAAGGGCAACAAGTTTGTCGAGATGGCACGGTCAGGTCCACCATATTTTCTCTTCACTTCCTTAGAATTTCTTCCCAACTTCTTTACCAAATCAAGTCTTCTCACTCTGAACAAAATTTCAACAAGCATTTCCATGTTTCCCTTTTTGGGAGAAATCCTGTTTGCATTTTCCAGTTGCACAAATAAATCAATTCCTCTGTCAATCGTTTTAAGCTTGCTCAATGGAATGACATCATGGCATAAAAATTTCATGTTTTCTATGTCTACGGAGTCCAGCTCGCTGTCCACATCTAGGAGAAGTTTATGTTGAGAAAACTGTCCAAGGTCACCTATAGGGTCTCCAACTGAATCGATCTCCATTTCGCTACTCATTTTCGACACTGCAGATGTTTATAGTTTTTTTCAATGTGTTACCTTTCAAACTTGACCATCTTATTCAATTTTCACATAAACCAGTCTGAAATTATAAAAGCAAAGATAAATGCATACATGTGTATATTAAGCAAAACCGATCAAGTGAATAATAAGTCTAAATCAGTGCAAAGTGGGATGGAAGATATTAGCCTATTACAGCCAAACATTAGTGCTAAGGGACATGAGGTTGTAATTAGCCTTCTTATATCGTTTCGTTGTAATATGAGCGGATGTCCTTTCTGTCTCTATGTAGGCTATCTAATATGTATTGCGGCAGGTTTTAATTTGCACATAGATGATAGGATTAAGGTCACCTTCTAGCTTTGAGGTAGAGGGATATTTCCCTTTAGCTCAGTGGTAGAGCGTCTGAGTAGGAACCTGGAGACTGAAGGTTTGATCCTCGTTGGAAGCACACTATTCCCTTTCCTGTTACATATGGTGTTCGTGGCCAACCCTGTGGTGACAGGGAGTTAGAACCTGGGTTGTGGTGTTCGAGGGCGAACACATTTAAAAAGGGGGTAGTAGTGTGGCAAGTTTTAATTGTACATAGGATTAAGGTCCCTTTCTAGCTTCCGAGCTAGATGGAATTTCCCTTTAGCTCAGTGGAAGGGCGACCGACTACAGGGTTGCATTCAGGATTTATGACATTTGTGTACATGCCCCCCTCCTTTCTGACAATTGGGGGGCCACTCTGTGGCTGCCAAAGGCAGCCACCTGAGGAGCGAAGCGACGAGGGAGGGAGGGGGAGGTTCGGGAGGGGGGTTGTGGAGTTTGCAACTGATACAGTTGCAAACCGAATAGAGGAGAACGAAACCAGACTATCAGACTCATCGGAACTCTCTGTTTTCCTTCTACGTCGGTAAAAAGGCCCGAGAAGTTCCGGAATGCGACAGTCTACCATTACAATGATGTCTACAACAACGAATTTACTGATTGATCAATACAAAATACTGCATTATTACGGTGAGTGAAACATTGTCTTGTCTATTTTATTTCTTTATCTCTTTGTATGCTGCATTACTTTTCATAGTAAACAATGCTCCCACTGAATTAATTTGAAGATATTTAATTAAAAGTATTTCAATTTTAAAACCTACTTTATTGGCATTTCTGTAGCTCATACGTATTCAAAACCTATATGTTTTAGGAACCTTGTATAAAGACCTATCTAATTAACCTTAGACATTTTTTGAAAAGTTCCTATAATTACCTGTACAGGTGAGGGACAGGTAAAGTATTTGATAATTAATATAATTTCTTTGTTATTCCCTTTAATTTTCATTAAAATGCAGTACATGTTGACATTTGAAGACAAATAACTCTTATTCTGATATCATACTAAATAACTATGACATTACCTGCTCATTTACAGCTTATAAATGCCCAGGTAAGACAGGTGAACTCAAAGTAAAACGTTCAGTGTCTTGTCCATTGATAATAGCTCATCGTTTGTTCATATTTTTTAAATAAAGACATTCACACACTTTCATATCATATTGATGTTTATTTGATATTAGTTCTATCAGTCATTTTATATACATATAACCATGCAGGTGTGTTAATTACAGGTAACAGTAAGTCAATGCTACGCGTTTTTGAGTCCGATTATGATTCTGTGCTGTCATTTTGGTCACAAAAACTTGGGTCTCTATTAAAGAATCTGTTGTCAATAATTATAAAGAAAAGATTTCTCAATAATTCCAATGAAAATTGTCAGGCAAAATAATTATTCGAGTTCCGAGGCTGACATGTCGGTCCCGAATTGACGTGGTCCCGACAAGATATGTCAAATATAAACAAAGATTGATACGGGCAAATTGATTCTGATTTATGCCGCGATTAGCCTTACATTGGTAAAAAAATACTGTCTGTTTCAATAACTTTATTTGAAAACAATTTGTCATACATGAAGAGTTAGAAATATTCCAAAGGCAATGCGCATGCATCATTATGATTATCGATGTTCACTTTCAAACCTGCGTTGCCGATAATGTCGGAATCGGGTTGTTGTCAATTCTGTACCGTCTCTATCTCGCGGCTAGATCCCGCACAATATCATCGTCATTGTACAAATAAATCATATCGAATGAAGGATAATCATTTAACTCCAATGCTACTATATATCCCACTTCAATACCGTCGAAAATGGCTTCACTACCTAAATCCCCGAAGCATTTGATCAAAAAAAATTGTTGGTCCGCCATTTTCTGACGAAGTACTTTCGTTTTATGAATAGCCTTTAATGTGACCTTTGCTAACCTTGTAACCGACTAATCAACGCACAGAAATGATATGACGTGTATATAGAATCCCCCTGACAAGTGATTTGATTGGTTCACGGTTGATAGCTATTAATACGATGACGTTGAACAAAGGGGTTTTCCAAAACGAGTAATCTCGTTTCCCGTGTCTCGAAGCAAAATGTCCAGGACGAGTTTTCTCGCCCTCAATTTGACATAATGCGTACACAGGCGTATTTCTGCGGGATTTTACCCGCACATGATTTCTATTTATGCGGGCATGTTATCATATTTGCGTCATTGACGCAATGCCGCGCCCTAGATGCAACCCTGGTAAAGGTACAAGACAGTTCGGAAGAGACAGACAAATTTAGCATGGGGTATGACGGGATATCTCTGTCTGAGGTGCAAGAATAGACATATCTTGTCAAAATGTTCTAGTCTGGTATCAGGGCCAGAAACACCAGGGCTAGATCCTAGGTTTCGGTTAAATAAAGGAGAGAGATGGGGTGTAAGTATTCAATAAGAGTTTAATAGGAAAGGTAATGGACGCAAGCATTGGATGCCTCTATATCCATACCTTATAACATTACATGACATCTAATACATTATCATATAATAAAAAGGACTCAAAGAATCAGTGAAACTTAAATAATGTAGACTATACAATATCAATATCAAATTGTTAATTCACTGTACAATACCTTTAACGATAGCCCGACTGATGGTGGGTTTCTGGTCGTGTTATTTACAAACTTGTACATTAGGCTCCCGTGCAGACATTTCTGTTGCGCTGTTGAAAAGTCGTCAAATCTATCTGGTCCTTTTCTTAATGCTAAAAACAACTCCCTATACTCTAATTTTTTGTTCAAAAATACAACGTTTCACCAAAACTTTGAGAATTTGTGCCTTAAAAAATAGAACAGGAAATCCCCTTCCACTCCTACCAGGAACTGTCAGCTTACATCCCAGACTACATACACGTGCTTGCACCGTGCCTGCCTGTGCCGGAAAGACGCAACTGTACTGGCGCGTTCGTTTTGCGTTCTCGTGATTAGTACCACGGAATAAGATTATCTAAGTCTGTGTTAGTACTAAATAAAAACAGTATACATAATACATAATTACTCGATACAAATTGTTATCTTAGTAATAACAAAGCACCGGATATCGATGGTATCATAAACGAATACTTATAAAGCATCAAACACTGTCATTTCGGCGCGTTTAATTACCCAATACCACCCAATACCACCCAATATACTACCCAATTCTACCCCATACGACCCAGTTATGAACCAAATACTTCTTTATTACTGTGAAATATCACCTTTGTAGACGTTATTTACTTCCATCTGCCATATTTTATCGGGAAATATGCGATTTGGTGCCGAAAACATCACCGAATTGACGTGACTATGACCCAATACTACCCCATAGGCCATACGACCCAGTTATGAACCAAATACTACTTTATTACTATATAAATATCACATTCATGAGAGGGCGATATTGCATATTTTCACCCCAAGGAAGCATTGTTCGCCGAGGTCAACAATGCTTTCCGAGGGGTGAAAATATTCACATCGCTCTCAACCAATCCGATTACGAGATTTTAACAGAAGGTATAATAATGTGAATATCACATTTCTTGAAGTTATTTACTTCTATATGTCGCATCCTGTCTGGAAATATGCGTTTTGGTGCCGATAACATTACCCAAATGCCGTGACAAGGGGTTCGACGATTTACAGGAACGGGCAGGAACGGGCATATTATATATACATTAATGAATATATATATTAGATACATTTAAGTATCATTATCAGGTATACGAAATATTTGATAAAAGAATTGCAATTACATGATACTATATTAATTCTATTCATGTCATAAATTGGGGTTATTAAGATCATATATATAAATTTAACAGGAAATATTTAGAAAAATTGAAATTACTTTTCAAAAATGTTAGTTATTCAATTTTGTTAAACATAACAGTATCAATTATATAACAATGCTTGAGAAGAACCTTCAGTTAAATGAGATACTCAAATACTATGAAATTCAAAAAGTATATGGATTGTTTATGATTCCAAGTCCTTTCGATTACTTGATTAACTCACAGATCTGTTTTGGACAAGCTAGATATAGTTCTCTGACCCATCTTATGAAGGGTAGACGAGAAGGTTGTCATTAATCAATGTAACAAATAAATAGATAATTTAAAGGAATTACTTCACGCTTCTTATACATCAATCCAGAGACGTATATATTACATATTACGCAATTTATGCGTCTTTGATCATCCGAAAGCAAAATACTAAATGACATGAAAACTTGATTCGACTCCCAGAGATACTGTTACACATATATACTTTTAATAACCCTGAGTTTGTGACACTAATTATGAAATAACAGAAATCTGTTATCTGAAGTACGGCTCCATTCTGGACTCGGGCAAATATCCCGGCTCTGTGCCCCCGGGCACTTAACAATCCAAGTTTCTGAAGGTACACTAATGAGGTGTATACTGGTACCGAATCTAAATCACAGTAACAGGTAAATATATATATTATAATTTAATTTTATAATGTCTTCCGAGGAATTACAAATTCCACTATCAAACCACTTATATAATATGTACAGAAGACGTAGCAATCTATGTGATTAGTTATAATTTTAAACAGTGTCTTGTAAGCCATTTTAGGCTGAATATCATATACAATTACATTTTCTATTTTATGCATTTGTTAAATACAATCAGAAAACATATTTTATGAAAATAATCTTCCGTTTAAATTATAATTAGCTACTAGTTAGTGTGAATTTAGCAGATCTCGCTGGTAGGGGCTCCCCAACTCTTGGAAACCTAAATTTCACTACAATATAGAACTAGGAAATTATTCATTTTATTTATCAGCATTGTTATTGGTTTTTTTTTCAAAAGACATCATGTTTTAAGGCAGTAAATGTAAAAGAAACCTTTTAACTATTATAGTATTTAATATGTAAGGACAAAATTCAGGAGTTTGTTATGTAGGGCCTTCTCTCTGGATTGGCACATGTGATAGTTTGTTTTAATTTATTAATTTATTATGTATAATAGCTGTTCTTAACAAAATTATGATATGGTCTATATATATTTTTACATTAAGATGATTGATCCCTGTTATGTAACTATGTTATTATACTGTGTAACGATTTGTTCCAATATATACTAAAGATACATTGACACTATAATTAACAAAATTGACTTGACTTGACTATATATATATGTTGGTAATGCAATGACGACGAAAACGGAGATAAATTTTTAATAGAATTGGCAAATAGAGGATTTTCCCCAAAATTACTTATAGTCAACTATATTAGAACAAATGCTTGAATAATTAACAAATGCTTAAATAATTGTATTATGCAACGAACGTTATAAACGTATTGACGTACATGAACATTCTACGGTTTTGTTTTAGTTATAACAACTATCGATATAATATGTATAAATATAGATTTGTTCCAATATATACTAAAGATACATGGTCGTGAAAAGTAAATATACTCTTACTAAATACTCGTCGAATTTATTTAAACAAATTTAAGTCTTTAAAAACATCAAGTTAGATGAATACATAACCACGGACTTTATCCAATTCCGTGTACAATATCTAATTTTAAACATAAACTTAGTCCCGTGCAAATGAATAGAATCTTGGTTTAAACTTTATTTTATTGATGTTAAATAACAATAGTACATGGTTATAAATACAGAAAAGGATCCAGAAACAAGTAAATAATACTTATGTAAATCCGTCTCCTTATAGACATAACAGCAGCTATGGATCAGTACTGACAATATGATAATTCATATAGATAAATATAAATATATATAAAGTATAACATGTGCAGGGAAAAGAAAGAGAAAGGGTTCAAGGATTTATAGTGGTATTGGGATGATGTTTGATGGGGAAGCGATGGGCATCAAAACTGCAATGGGAGAACAAACGCTGATTGCATGAATACAAACGATATTTGATGAAAGAGCACTGTGTCTGTACATGTTTTGGAAAGCTTATGTAGTATGCTATGAAAACAAATTAAAACTACAAATGCAATTCTTAACTGGCACTAATGATCTGTAACACTCTACGCAGACCAATGCGATATTCAAGTAATTGCAAGTATCACCACAGCAAACATGATTACTGATATGAATGAAGTCAAAGTTTCTTTAAAAGCGTCTAGACTGAATGATGAAGTTTTGAACACAGTCAAAAATAGTTTCATCTAAGTGAATTGGTAGTTCGGGTCTACCATAAAGTAAAAAGCTTACATTATAGTTAGGAGGTAGGCGACTAAAACATTTGATTCTTAGCTGCTGGTATTGAGGACATTGGAGGAGGAAATGTTCTGTAGTTTCAGTAGACAAATTTCATGAGTACATGGGGCTATCAACTAAGCTTCGTGCAAACAGGTGAGTATTTAAGGAGCTGCAGTTCATCCTAAGTCGTGCATGATGGATCTGACCTTGTCTGCTTCTGCAGTAGTAATAGTGCTGAGGAACAGAGAGAGTGTCGGCATTTAGAATTTTTTTGAGGTTAGTAATTGAGGGATTGTATTTTACGTTATCTGGTAGTGCATTCCATAAATCGACAGAAGAGGGGAGGAAAGAGTCTTTATATAGCTTAGTTCGACAGTTGACTTGACAGAAATTGTTAGCTCTTCTTGTATTGTAAGTATGTATATTTGAATGGCGAGCAGGTAGAACGTTAGCATGATAAGAAGGGCACTGACCATGAACAATCTTATAAAATTGGATTAATTTGTGTTTTCTCCTTCTGACAATAAGGGGGTCCCAACCAGATTCTGCATATAGTCTGTCGTGACTTGTGAGTTTGGTTGCCCCAGTAACGGTTATGGCTGCTTCGAGTTGTATGTTTTCAATCAACTGGCTTTGGCCTAAACTTATGTTGTCCGATACAATATTACCATATTCTAATAAGGGTCTTATACAAGTATAATATATCGTTTGAAGAGACTTTCTATCAATGATAAATATTAGATTCCTAATTATGCTAAGTTTTTTTAGAGGCTTTGCTAATATTGTTTTGAATATGGTCACTCCAACTTCCATTGGCTTAGATAGAGATACCGAGATGTTTTTAACAACATCATTTATAAAGACTAAAAAGAGCAGTGGACCTAAAATTGATCCCTATGGAACTCCTGCTGTGATATATGCTAAATAAGAATGTTAACCATTTATTACAACACGTTGACAGCGATTATGTAAGTAATCTGAGAACCAAGTAAAAACATTTCC